CAAAAGGATTCAGCTTACGTGATATGGGCATCTATCTAGGATGCCTCCTGGACGCCTCCCTGAGGAGGAGCTGTGGGTATGCCCAACTGGGAGGAGACCCTGGGCCAGACCCAGGACACACTGGAGAGATTATATCTCTCAGCTGACCTGGGAGTGCCTGGCTGTCCTCCCAGAGGAGCTGGAGGAGGTGACTGGGGAGAGGGAGGTCTGGGCATCTCTGCTTGGACTGCTGCCCCCACGATGCGGACAAGTGGTGGACAATAGATGGATGGATGGGTGGGTGGGTGGCATTTCTGCATTGTCATTATTCTAAATGTACATTTTCACCACATTATCCAATTTATTGGACTCTGTTAATCTTATATAGTGCCACATTGTAATTCTGTTGACAGACACAGAATACAATTATATTTAATCTGGACTGGTAAAGTTTAATGCTCGGCTAACATGGCATATGGGTAAATTCTGAAACCGAGAAGAGGACATCTGTTTTATTGTATGCAATTTAATATAATCATTATCCAGTCCCTGACAGTTCAGCATGAAGACTGAATTGGAGAAAAACAGACACTGAAATAGCAAAAGAACATTGTTAAAACTGGAGGGCTGTCACACAGATTACATACAAATAAACAGAATTTCATCATGTTTACTTCATCACACCTCACAGCTTAATCTGGTGCTTTTTAATAACCTGACTCCAGGACCAAAAAGCCAACATGAGTCTGTGAAATTTCATTTCACCGTGCAGAAACAGTATCCTCAAGAAACTCAGGAATTGTCACAAAGTTTTTGTTTCATGTCTTTCAAATATAAAATTTGACGGCATGTGTTCATTTGTTGAAAATAACAGTTTTCTCTGGATTATTCTTTCTGCAAATGTTTTTAAGATTCAAATAACTTTGATACATTTGGGGTGAAATGGGTTATACAGAGTTGCGCCATCTAGGGGCTGGATGGGGGTTAGCAGTATGCAGTGAGAGTGGGGCTATGCAGCCAGGCTTATGTGGTGTTTGCGGGGGCAGGTCACGCCATCGCCCAACCCCACACTCCTTACTGTATGCCCCAGATTGTTTATTTGTTTGTTTGTTTATTTATTTATTTAACAGGGACAATGGACTAGTTAGTAAATGGTTAGTAAATGTCCAGAGTAAGACAGAAAGTTGTTTCATCTGTAATAAATTTTACAAAATAATGTACAGCAGTGTCCAATCATAAACCTCATAAAATACAACACATAAAAGTGTGCCATACTTCTTATCTTATACAAACTAATGGTCACATGATTGATTTCAGTCATACTTTTAGTTGTAATTCAGACAATTCAATTAAAAAATTGAGCTTTGTCTGATACTGCTGGGGACAGAGTTCCAAATGTTTGTAGCTCTAATGGAAAACAACGATCAACCAGATTCAGAGCACCTGTATCGCACGGCAGTTACCTTAGGCCTGGCACTTGTTTGCCTGATGTTACCTAAGCACAGTAAAACAAATTCTTTCAAAGGATGGGGGGCTAGATTATGAATATTTTTGCACATTAAACACATTGTACAACTGACAAAAAAATCAAAAGGTTATACTTAGAATTAAAATGACAATGATGATACCTAATTGGCGTTTTATCCATGACTTTCAGGGTGTATTAATATAAATTGTATGTTGGCTTCAGGATGGTTTTCCCACCTGGGATCATGTGGTGATACAGCTTGACAAATTTGGAAAAATCATACAATCTATGTACAACTTGGCAGCATCTGTTGATAATCGATTCCTAAAAAATGTAAAATGTCTAAGGTTCAGTTTAGCTGTACTAATTACCTTTTCCGCTTGCTTTTCAAAGGTCAGGTGTAGATCAATAGCTATCCCAAGGTGTTTAATATCTGAGACGATCTGGAGGTTTTTACCCTTAGCAGAGATATCAGGATGACGCACCTCCATCTTGCTGATTAGGAAATCCATGCATGCGGTCTTGCTAATATTTAGAGTAAAGACAAGCCTGCAAAAGCCAGTCAGAGATACTAGGCATGGCTGCTGTTAATGTATGCCTAAGGGAATGCAGTAGGCAGGTCATTGACATATAAGCTAAAGAGCAGAGACCCAGGACAGACCCCTGTGGGACAGGTACGTCGCCTCCTCCTTGTTAAATATCACTCTATCCATGTCACAGTATTTTCAAAGAAGCTGAAATGTGATGTTAGAAAGGTTGCCTGTTTGAAACAAGCAAAAGTTATAATGTTTTGTCTTGGCCAAACAGTGGTTTGAGGATGGTATCAAAGATGAATGTCCCTCTAAACTGGAGCAATTACCTTGATTGGAGATGGTCTCAGCCAGCAGCCGCTGGGCAACGCTGGCCGCCAGATCAGGCCTCGGATTTTGTTGCACATTTTCAGCAATATGGGGGGCAGCCATTGGATAAATCAAGAGCTTTCGTTGAGGTTGCTAAGATCTTTCTCTCACTGTGTTGGTTTCACTTTGGCGCGCTCAGCCATTTTCTAAGGTGTTAGACCATGAAGGTAGCTGGCTTGATAAGTTGAAAGTAACAAATGGCTGCGATTCAGTCGTGTTCACTACTTCATTAATCCAGCAGCTATGTACCAAATGGGCTAGGAGAGCAGCCACGGAGCCAAAAAGTACCGTTTTCTACATAATATTGTTAAATGATGGCCAGTGTTTGGCTCTACCATTACAAATGAAGCCATGGAAATCTGAAACTGATTTTGTGAGTGTGAATAAAATAGAAGTTGTGAATTTGGCAAATGTGTCTGCAGCTCCTACCTCGCCGTCAGAAGACACGTCTGCCATCTTCCCCAAGTCCCATCCATGACATGGTAGGAGTGTAACGTTCCCTGATTCCCCTCATTTCAACTCTAGCTAACTAGTTAATTACAGGTGATTACTTTCAATGACTGAGTAAAGAAACGGGAGAAAATGCCCAGCCCATTAGAGGATAATGGAGCTAATAATTATCTTAAGGTTAACGAAGACGTCAGCAGAGAGTGTCAGACCTCCCCAGCTATCACAGGTCGTACCGTCTCGTCCCGTCACAGGGTATCGTGATGTGATCCACACACATCAGCATGGGACCTTGATGTGTGAAACACAGACAGGGACAGGAAACTGTAGTGAACTTGCAGGGTAGCAATGAGGGGCAGCCGGCGGACAGGACATGACATGACCGCAATCCTCTGTCAGTTCCCATCCACACTGCTACAGCGCCCACATGGGGTTCGAACCCGCCACTATGCTGTTGGTAGGTTTCTTTCATCTATAATGTTATTGATTGATAATCCTATGAAAAAGAAGGTTTACCTGGAGGTGAAAATGGGGCTTCGATTTCTTAGACACCTGCAGGACTGGATTTTAAACCCTGACTGATCTCAGAGCAGTTCAACTCTGCCCTGATTCAGAGGCCCCATCCCTTTTCAACCCCTCCCCTCCCCCCCACCTCACCCACAAGCAACTGCCAGCCCTTCTTTTGGGCTGCCAGCCCAGTTTTGAGTGATGTAACTATTATATAAATCAAACTAAACCTAATTAATAATTAAGTTTCATAAGAGTTCTCCAGACTTAAAGCACATCAAATAAAATCTTCGGCATTCAGAGTACTATGCAGGCTACCCCTCCAGTAGATGATGGTATGTTCCGCTTTGGCCTCATCCCCCTTCCTTTCCTTTCGACGTGGCATGGCCCATATGCTTCAGACTTCAACATGCAATCCGTGAGTTAGGTGACATTAAAATATTACTTTCAATCACGTAAACAGTTTATATGAATCAAAAATATACAAAATAGTTAATTATACCATTTCTCTGCATCTTCCATAGGACTGGGTGATATCTCAGAAAATTAATATGTGATATTTAATTTTATAAAATATCAGGATGGTCGATAATATTGAGTTGTGCCACCCCCGCGCACGCACACACACACACACACACACCCCCGCGCACGCACACACACACACACACACCAGTGTCTAATTCCATCAAGGCCAGGTGCGATCGGCACTTGCAGAATAAATGAGGGTTATCCTTTTATTGTCATTATATTCAATAAAACTTCAGTGTAAATTCTAATAAAAATCTAATAGATCATACAAACAAACTCGCCCATCTGAAAAATTGCGTGTTGCAACCCCTTAAAATGTTCATGCCAGTCGCTTAACATCCCATACAAAACTTTCTACATCCCCCCCGCCCAGACGCAGTGGACCTTGGCTTTGTGCTACTCATGGAGTTTGGCCCTCAGGGATAAATAGTTGGGGACCCCCACCTATGAGTACAAACAGCAAGCCAGATCAGTAACATTTTCATATACATTAAGACGCCGGTTAACCTCCCGGTCAAGGGACCCTCTTAAGGGGTGTCCTGAAACAGTGCACCTCCTACAGGACAGCTCCTGCCTCCTGTTTGACTTCCCATGAGCTTGTGGGATTAGCGGGTGCTTGGGGAATCACCGCAGGAGTTTCCCAAAATGATCCACTCCTCACTAGAGCTGAGGCTTACAGCTAGCTGCTGACTTCAGAATTACCAGCGGAAAGGAAACATGAAGAAAGGAAGAGGTGCAGAAAGCTCCCGTTTGAAGCGATCCCAAAATGAGACATGAAAGAGGCCCAGAGGAACAGAGAATGGACATCCTGAACCCTGAGTGGAAAACATCATCATTTATCAGGGAGAGATAGCAGAGCTGTGTGTGATGCACAGAGCCGAAGGCCATGTTTACCTGCGGCTCAGCAGACTTCCCAGGGTCACAAATCTTACTAACCAAAGCAGCAGTTGGGAGCCCCAGCTCAGTACTCCAGTTACAAGTTTAAAATGCTTAGTTCATGACTCAAACACTGGCTCAGGTGACTACCTGAATAGTTACTCTAATGAAGCGAGTGCAGATAGTGAAGACGGGCACTTCTGGCAGACTTCAACCCTGCATCAGAATAGATAGGCTGCAGACATGGGAAGCGACAGCCATAGCCACAGTGTCAGATATCAATGAAAGCCTCTTACCTCGCAGTCTCTGGAGCCCGAGATGGTGTAGGCACAGGGCCCCGACCCGTTGACCAGTACGTCCATGGTCTCGGAGCTTGGGCCAGGCTTGTAATCCACGTAGTACTCCTGCAGGGGCGAGGCGAGCGGTCGCTCTGTCTCTGGTGCCCTCCTGCGGTGCCGGCGAGCTGAGTGCTCTTGGAGCTGCCTCACACTGCCAGGGTAGCGCCTCCAGGACACGTAGATGACCAGTAGGATCATGGCCACCGACAGGAATAGGGCCACGCTGCCCGCGATGATCTTGTGGAAGGAGACATGCTCGAATTCCAGCTCTGGGAGCGAGGGGGCAGCTTGTGAGGGCGTGGGGCTGGGAGCAGCCCCACGCGCTGGCCCCTCCACCCCTCCGGGCAGTGAGGGAGGGGCCACACGGTCTGGTCGGATGGCCATGGTAGACATGACAGGAGTAGTGGTAGAAGGGGTGGGCGTGGCCTTGCAGATGCCACGCTTCTCCACCGTGTCCATCACCTTCTCCCCCTGGGCCTCCTTGGGGGCAGCACAGATCATGGTGGCCTCCTTGTTGCCCCGGAACCCCCTGAGCCAGGCCACCAAGGGGCAGACTACAGGTCCACAGTCCCACACGTTGCCCGCCAGACTGATTGTGGTCAATGAAATCCAAGCGTCCACCGTTTCCCGGGACACATTGCTCAACTTGTTGGAGTCCAGGCTGAGGGTATGCAGGTTGGGCAACCGTTGGTAAACATCGGCCTCCAGCACCTGCAGCTCGTTGCCGGAGAGATCCAGCTTCTGCAGCGACGTCCATGTCCAGGTAAGGCCCTGGCTCATGGAACGGATGCGATTCCATTGCAGGTAGAGTGCTCGCAAGTTTGAGAACCGAGGGAAGTTCGAGAAGTTGATCTTGGAGAACTGGTTGTGCTCCAGGTGCAGCTCGGTGAGCCTCAGCAGCCCATAGAAGGCGTTGCGGCCTATGCTCCTTAGCCGGTTGTAGCCCAGGTCCAGGAACTCAAGGTTGCGGCAGTCCTGAAAGAGGCGTACGGGGAGGGTCTTCAGTGAGTTGGAGCGCAGGTGCAGGCTAAGCAGCTTGCGTAGCCCCTGGAACTGGCCTGGCTGCAGCTCCTGCAGCTTGTTGTAGGACAGATCCAGGTTGCGCAGGTTGGGCACGGCCTGGAAGGTATTGTTTGGCAGATGTGTGATCTTGTTGGAGCTCAGGATGAGTTCCTTGAGGCGACGCACGCCCTGGAATGCGCGGCCGTCCACGGCGCTGATGTAGTTGTGGTCCAGGTAGAGCCAGATGAGCTGATTGAGGCCGCTGAAGTGGGCAGTGCGCAGGGCTGCCAGGCTGTTGTAGCGCAGCGACAGGCCCTGGCAGCCGCCAGACAGGCCACGGGGCGCATCGCGGAAGCCGCCCGACTCGCAGTACACAATCTTACCATCACAGCGGCAGCTTCGGGGGCACGGCCGCTCGGCCACGCCCACCGCCAGCCAGGCCTGCACCAGCAGGGGGGCCAAGAGCCAGCGGCCTCGCCCAGGGGGGCCTGTGAACACAAGGAGGATGCCATTTAGCTCCAGATCAGGTGCCACGAATCGCCCACACCCTTCCACTCCCTGCCTCCCCTTTACATCTGGATCCTCCCGAATTAGCAGCCTAAGTAATTCAGGAGATGCGGTTCATGTATACAAATCCAAAGATGTTGCAATTTTCCGCTTCACGCCGACACATTTGAGGCTTTAGTGTGACTCACCAGCCCAGCGAGGCTCCACAGAGAGAAACGCAGCTTACGGTATATGCACGCAAAAACTCCAACAACACTTCATTGTATTTCAGTGACACACCTGTATGATGCCACTTGCTTGTTGTTGAACAGAGCAGGTTTTTTTTTCAGATCTGGTGAACACATGTCATGGGCACCACTACATCATGACCAGGACTGTGACTCTGACCATGGTTCTAAATGTGACTCTGACCATGACATATTAAACTGTAACTGTTTTTGTCTCTCCAGCCTGATTTCTCTGGAAGATGGTAGCTGACAGCCTGTGTTGATACATGCCCTTTATCACCTTCATCTCTGATATGTGACCTTTGACTACTGGGACCTTTCCTCCATATCACGTGACATTTTGACCCCTACACCATTCCTCTTCCTATATGTCCTCTAGAATGGCTCCTTGCCCTCCTTGGCAATAATTAAAGCTGAAGCCCTTAATTATCACCTGATAATTGTTCTGAGGTGTAAGTGAAGCTGCATCCAGCACCCTGCTGGGGTCGGGATGTCTTAAGATGGACCTCAGAGCAGCAAGATTGTGTGTCATTGGGGTGTGGGAGGGTGCAGCTAAACCATGGTGATGATTCTCAGCAAGAGCTGGGACCTGACATCACTGCACACCAGCCCCCTGACTCATGCAGCACTGACTGATATTCAGGATATTTCGGGTTAAGCACACAGTGCCCAGTGGAGTTTTCACTGATCTTCCACTTTTAAACCACTGCACTACATGCTGGTCTGTGAAAACAGGGAGAAAGGCTAGGGTTAGGGTTAGGGTTAGGGTTAGGTGGACATGGGGGCTAGAAGGTGAAGATCACCATGCAGACTGAGAGTGACTGTTAGGAAATGCTGGCAAACCTTCTCAGCCTCATCTGTTGTTGTAAACGTGATGCAGAAATCACCCACATTCACTGACTGTGACTGACCATCCAGCCGCCCACCTGTGGGGCAGGAAAACCAAACAATAACATCCAGCTGACGGAAAGTGGCAAGTGGCGATTTCATCCATGACAGAGAAGCCTGCAGACCGTCACTTAATACCATCGCATTTTACAACTAGATCACATACCAAAATATGGGGAAATCGGAGGAGAGCCACCACACGGAGAGTACAGCCACTGCTGTGACAGTACAGCCACCACACGGAGAGTACAGCCACTGCTGTGACAGTACAGCCACCACACGGAGAGTGCAGCCA